GATGCTCAACTGACTGAGCCACCCAGGTGCCCCTGTTTTTAGTTTTTCTAAGTAATGCCAAACTGCTTCCAGAAAGTAACTGTACCAATGTAAACTCCCCACCAGAAGTGTATGGGCATTCTAGTTTGGTTTTTGTGGTTTTTTTAATTTATTTTGAGAGAGAGAGGGAAAGAGCATTAGTGAGCTCTCAAGTGGAGGAGGGGGGGAGAGAGAGAGAATCCCAAGCAGGCTCCTCACTGTTAGTGCGGAGCCCAGCACAGGGCTCAATCCCACAAGCCGTGAGATCATGACCTGAGCTGAAATCAATAGCTGGACGCTCAACCGAGCCACCCAGGTGTCCCGGGCATGCCAGTTCTTGTTCGTCTGCATCAACACTTGGCATTGTCAGACTTCATTTTTGCCCATCTGGGAAGCACACAGTGGTTTTAGGTTTATGTTTCCCTGATGACAAACGAGGCTTATCATCTCATATTTACTGGCCGTCTGAATTCCCTTCTTTTGTGCAGTGTCTGTTCAACTGGGCCTCTTCTGTCCATTTTCCTATTAGACTGCCTACTTTTTTCTTACTGAATTACAGTTTTATATACTCTGTTAACTTCCTTTTTAAGTAGGCGTCATGCCCAGCGTGGAGCCTAATGTGGGGCTTGAACTCATGACCCTGAGATCAAGACCCTGAGTGATACCAAGAGTCGGACACTGAACCGAGCGAGCCAACTAGGCGCTCCCTACTCTGATAACTTCCTAACGACCATGTTCTACCTGCCCCTCCTCACCATTTTAGTCCATACTCTCTACACTACATACCATAGAACACATGGGAGACATAATTGGTGGAAGGATTTCTGGTTTCGATAAGACCAAGTTATCTGGTCTTATCTGCTCCTAGTTTACTCTTACTAAAGCTGGGCTTGTTTTGAAACAAAGGGATATGACCCCAACCTGCCATCCTAGACCTACTAATCCCTTGTTAATAAGCAGCTTCCAGAACTCTGAATGCTGAATTCAAAACCCTGTTATCTTAGTGAAGAACGACAGACTTTAAGAACTCCATGACCCATACAAAGATTTTTTTTAACAACTCTAAATCTTTTAAGAGTAGAAAGGACTGTTAAATAACAAGTTTAAAACAGATTTGCTAAAAGCAATGCAGTGGGCCCTAAGGTCAATTGAACCAGAAAGTTTAATGTCATCATCACATCTTCAAAATTCAAACACCCAACTACCCTATCCTGCTCACTGCTTAGGTTTCACCCCTTTATACTCACATTTATTGCCTCGAACAGCATAAGCAAGCTTTAGTTCCGGATGAAATTTGCCCATCTGCTCAATCACTTTTCCCGTTTGAAGTGCCAACTCATATGTTGGGGAGAGGCACAAACACTGAACAAGGAAATCATAAAGGTTGAGTTTAAGAGAGTCTTTTAGTAAAAGACAACAGGTGCTAATGCAACAAATATGCTTATATTATTATCACTTTTTAAAAAATGTTTTATCTATGAGAGAGAGAGAGAGAAAGAGAGAGAGAGAGAGAGAGAGAGAGAGAGAGAGAGAGAGAGAGAGAGGCAGAGAGAGAATCCCAAGCCGACTCCATGCTGTCAGCACAGAGCCCAGCTCAGGCCTCGATCTCATGAACTGTGAGATCATGACCCGAACCAAAATCAAGAGTTGATGGTTAACTGACTGAGCCACCCAGTCACCCCTGATCTTACTACCATCTAAAAAGGCAGGGAACCACATCCTCTCCAACCAGGCCCACTTTTCAGCTATAGACCCAAGCCTTCAGCAGGGAGCCCTGGCTGGGTGAATGCCTTCAGAAGCCACTGTTTAAAGCTGCTGTTTCTGAATGAACTCTACCTAGAGGCCTAGTACATGAACCTGCTCTGCCAGATCCACAGTCTGAGGCCCAGGAAACGTTCAGATCCCTTAAGGGGTGCCCTCACTAACCGCCCACCAGATAGCACTGTCTTTCCCAGGGCAGGCAAGCCAGGGCCCTCAGGATCCCCCAACCCTCACCTGGGGGTATCTCTCTGCTGGTTCCACTCGGCTGAGCATGGCCAGGACGAAGGCGGCTGTTTTACCAGTACCTGACTGAGACTGAGCAATCAGGTTCTGTGGGCTGGATCAGGAACAGAAAGGAAAATAATATTGGTTAAACACAATAAAGTACCAGAATGTTCTTTCTGGATGGTAGGAATACAGAATATTCTTCCTTTAATCCAAGTTTTCTGCATTGAGGACAATGATAAATTTTTTATATGATGTTAAAAAACTGCTTAAATATTAAGGGAAAAAATGATTCTTTTAGATGGGTTTATACCAAGAATCCTCACTCTAGACTCCAGCACAGCCAGGGTGCCCTAGTTTTGTACCCTAGGGGCCGCATGGAAATTAACACTGCAGAGTAAAATCTGTGCCAAGGAAAATCCCTGAAGACATTTTCTGCCAAGCTGTAATAGGTCTCCAGCACTCGGCTCCCTGTGTGTTTCCTTTTCTTTCTTTTTTTTTTAATAATGTTTATTTTTGAGAAAGTGTGAGCATAAGCAGGGGAGAGTCAGAGAGAGAAGGAGACATAGAATCTGAAGATTCAAAGCACACTCCAGGATGTCAGCACAGAGGCCAGTGCAGGGCTTGAACCCACGAACTGTGGGATCATGACCTGAGCTGTAGTTGTAGGCTTAACCGACTGGGCCACCCAGGCGCCCCTCCCCTTTTCCCTTCTTTATGAAAATCCAAGACACCAAGTCAGGCAGATGCTTTAGAGGGAACTTTCACATTTTACTTCCTGTAACTCAGTCATGGAAATAGGTGGAATTTTTTGTCATTAAGCAAGAAAAATAATAGAACTGAATGGGAAATGTTGCTCCATAAAGTAGGATACCAATTATCTACAGTTTAAAATATGTAAACAACTCTTAGATTCTTAGGAATGTGTAGATATGTAGGAAAAGTATAAAGAAATGTAAGAGAATGATGACCTGTTTCAGGATGACATTACTTGGGTTGGGGAAGGGGATGTGAATGCAGAGGGGTGCATGGGGGCTTCCACTGTCAACTAGATTTCTTGACAAGATAGGGTTACAGATGTTCTTGACACCTTTTTTTGCAAGTTCCAAAAATTTCATACTAAAAAAAATTTTTTTAACATTTATTCACTTTTGAGAGACAGAGACAGAGCACAAGTGGGGGAGGGGCAGAGAAAGAGGGAGATACAGAATCTGAAACAGGCTCCAGGCTCTGAGCTATCAGCACAGAGCCCAACACAAGGCTTGAACTCATGAACTGCGAGATCATGACCTGAGCTGAAGTCAGATGCTTAACCAGCTGAGCCACCCAGGTGCCCCCCAAATTTCCTATTTTTAAAAAACCCTGTTTTACAAAATGCACAGAGTAACATTAGCGGTTCAATGCGGGTTTGAACCCACACCACCAACTAAGCTAGCCAGGTGCCCCCATTAGTTTTTACTGCTAAGTGGGAAAGGCAGAAGCTGTACCAAATTCCATCTGACTCTCTGTACTTGCTCAAGCTGTTTCCCTGAGGAAAACATGCTGTCCCAAATGTCCCATCTTGTTCTCAAGAACAGTAAGTTATTGGTATAGGACGTTAAACCAAATTCTGAAGAGGTGCACTGGGATCTGCATACTCACGGCTCAGCAAGCATCATGGGTAATGCATTCTCTTGTATCTTGGAGGGTCGATTGAAGCCCATGGCATAGACTCCCTGGAGAAGCTGTGGTTTCCTAGGAGGCCAGGGAGAGAAAGGATCGTTTCCTAGTTCAAATTGTTTTAAAGGCCTAAATCTCTTTCCCTATATCTAGCAAAGAGTAACACTTCCTATCTCTGTCAGACATATCTTCCTAGGCCTTAAAAAATATTATCTAAAATGAAACCAAACCATCATCCTTCTCTCCTCAGTCTTAATCTACAACTATTACACAATTCATAGAATACAGACAAGTTTTCTTTCTTGGATAAATTCATGCTTTCAGCAGACCCCCACAAATATGATTGGTCTTGGATGGCAAATGTTCCCTGGATACTGCAAGAGTGGAATTTATTAAGTTGTATAAATTGTATAATTTACATAAAATGAATTATAAAAGGCGTACCTAAAAATAAACACTGCTTAACTGTATCACTATAGAAGTCCCTTTAGAAAACAAGATTCACGTTTAATTTCTTGGTGCAGATGTTAAAATGAACCACGGTCATTTTGTATTCCATGGTCCTTCCAAAGCCAGCTATACAAACACTCAGGACAATCAAGAGGTAAGAGAATTGATTTAGCCAGTTTCTGGTAAAGAGGAGTGTTCAATCACCTGTACTGAACTTCACGAATGCTCATATTTGGTTATTATGTTTAGTCAAAATCAAGCATAGGAAAGCACCAGCTTATATAAGTAGCTACACAACAAATACAAATTAAAGTTGCTTTTTCATTGCATTTACAATAACCTCTCTGTTACCTCTACCACCGACAGGGTGTTTGACAAAAATCCCACCACACTATTTGTAAAGAAGAGCCAAACCAAGTCAAGCCTTCTGTTCTCTGAGCCTTCCCTGGAGTTAACAGGCTCTCTAAAAGGCACATTCGTCTGGCATATGTTGGTTCTCAGAAACAAAGACATGTGAAAGCATAATCTTTGGTGTCTTCTGTTTAGAAGAAAAGGCTATGAAGCTCAACAGATTGTGATTTGGTTGCTAAGGAAACAAAGTCACAACTGAATGAAGATCCAAATGATCCAAGAGCTTCCAGCGGTTCATTATTTTCCTTTTATTTTGCAGATTAATTCAAAATTTTAAAGTACAAAACAAATATATTATATTAGGCAACTTAGGTTTTATTTTTTGTTTCTTCTAGCCAACAACTACTAAATCAGAGAGAGCTTGATTTTTCAGAAAGGACAATTCCTCACTGGTCAGACTGAGAGCACAAGTCCTTTAAATGAAAGGGGGTTTAAAAACCATCTATACTTGGGGAAGCAAAACTGTCACTTCAGGAAACAAAAGAGCACATCTAGCCGTCCTGATATAGTTTACGAATAGAAGCAGAGATGGCAGAATTGCTGAATTAAGCCCCCAATGGGAGAAATACAGAAAGAAAAGAATAATTTCCTGAAAACATTAAAAAACAACAACGCTTTAAAAAACTTGTTCTTAACTGTTACTTCATTAATGACTTGATTTGGTTTAAGTTAGCTCTTATATTTTAAGTGTCTCTTATTCTAAAGCAGTGGTAACAGTTGGCAGGAATGTGGCCCCTATTGGCCCACGGTGGGCATATTAAAGATTTTGCTGATAAAGGTAATTCCACCACTTTCTTATTCACCAGCTGCTTTCTGTCTATGATTCAGGTCCTGGCAGGCAGCAAGAACGGTGGTTATGTCTTGTGTTACTCATAACACCCAGCACAGTACCAGGTACATAAACCAATGATTCATAAACATTTCTTTACTAATATATTGAAGTAAACAAAAAAATTGGTATGACCTTCCATAATTCTGCTTTTAAAATAAAGCGATATTGGAAGTCATTCTTAGCACAATGACATGAATATGCTCCCTTACAGCTTAATTCTGGGTTCTGGATTGGTTTTTGTTTTGCATTCTGGAATACTGAAGACTGCTTTCCACTGTAGGTACTGGAAATCCTGCAAAGGCTCTTTTGATCGATTATATAAAAGCAGATAAACTGTTCTTAACCGTAAACCCTATAGTCTAACAAAAGGGCTTACCTAATAAGAAATGTTCCTGACATCCAGAAATCACCTGTCAGCCAATATTTTATTGAAAGTTCTAAGAGCATAAAAGAAAAAAGACTTTCAGCTATGATGAATAAATCTGTGGCATTTAAAAATCCCTCCCAAGAGGAGGAGAACTGGGTAGCCAAGAGACAAGGGTGGGAGGGAAACCGTCACTGTAAACTGTTTCATACTTTCTGACTTTTGAGTCATGTGAATTATCAAAGAAGCAAATACATTAAGATTCTTAAAAATAAAAGTAAAAAGTAAAATTCCCCAAAGATCTTGGAAATGCTAAGTTTTACAAAGGAGGGCCTGACAAGGAGCAGCTGTTCAAAGAACAAATACTCACAGCCGAAGCTCCTCAAAGGACTTCACAGAATAGAGCGGGGAACTTGGGTCCCGCTGCAGGACTTCCACTTGGTTCGTGTTATCGACAAGGTTGCTTCTGATCAGCTTGTTGAGTAAAGACTGGGCAGCTCTGTCCTCTGTCCGGAAGAAACCAGCAGATTGTCTTCACGCTCATTTGGCAAACTCACCCTCGTGAAATCTCTCTCCCCATCTCTGCACCAGCACCCAGGCGGCCAGGCTTGGCTGGAGAACAAGTCACTCCCACCGGTCTCCCTTTAGAACGGTGACTGGGAAACCCAAAAGGGCTAAGCTGCCCTATTCGTCTTCATGCTTCTATTCTCCACTCATTCACTCTTCTCAGACCTCCACTTCTACCTCCTCCTCTCTTCTCAAACTTCTAATCCCTCACATCCTCACTCACCTGATGACCTCTCGTCTTCCTTCACAGAAAAGTACCAGTGATCAGAAACACTTCCCCATTCTGTCGTGACATTCCTATACATCTACCTACATGTGCGCCCATGTTCTCTACATTCCCTTTGGTAACCTGGGATGAACAGCCTGTGCTCCTAAGGCTAACCCCTCCACTGGTACGACAGGTCCCAGCCCCTTTTGCCCACAAGGGTATTTCTCCTGACGCTGACTCTGTTTTGCGTGATCAGTTTCCTGCTCCACTGGAACATTCCCACCAGCATGTGAACACGTTGTAACATTTTTTTTTTTTAATGTTTATTCATTTTTGAAAGCAAGAGTGAGAAAGGGACTGGGGGAGGGGCAAAGAGAGAGGGAGACACAGAATCCGAAGCAGGCTCCAGGCTGTTAGCACAGAGCCCAGCACTGGGCTCTAACTTACAAATCACAAGATCATGATCTGAGCAGAAGTTGGACCCTTAATCAACTGAGCCACCCAGGTGGCCCCAATATTTATATCTTCTTAATCAACTTATTACTTATATTTAACTACCTACTTCTGAAATACTTCCTTCTTCTGGTTTCTGGATACCACCCTCTTGAGGGCACCTGGGTGGCTCAGCCGGTTAAGGGTCCGATTCCTGGCTTCAGCTCAAGTCATGATCTCATGGTCCACGAGATTGAGCTCCGCATCAGGCTCTGCGCTGACAGTGCAGAGCCTGCTTGGGATTCTCTCTCTCTCTCTGCCCCTCCCTCACTTGCTCTCTCTCTCAAAATAAATTAAAAAAAAAAAAAAAGGATACCACTCTCTTTCATTCTCCTTCTACCTCACTGACTGCTTCTTCTCAATCTCCACTGTAATTCCTCCTCATCTCCTTGATCCAGTGCCTCTGGCTCCAGGAGGGCAAATCTTGGGTCATATTCTATTTCTTGCGACAAAGTTTTAAAGAGAAATTACCTTTCTCTTCTTCATCTGTTTTCTCTGCAGCGGCACTGGTTTTAATAACACCTACAAAAGAAAACAGTTATCATAGTAAGAAAGGCAAATTTCAAACCCACCCAAAAGGTGTGACAACATAAAAACTAAATCTTAGTTAGGTGATCAAAATGTAAATATTTGGCATTTCTTTATGTTTAATGGGTTTTTATTCCTAGAAAGCACACAAGAAAATTTCAACTTTCTAGGAATGTTGGCTGACTTCACAGTGGATCAGAATATGTCACCTCTGATTTGCTTATCCTATTTTAAAATATACTATTATATTAGCAAACACAATCATACATAAGAAAGAAAACAGGTATTAAAAATTAAAAGCAAGAGGGGCGCCTGGGTGGCTCAGTCGGTTGAGCGTCCGACTTCAGCTCAGGTCATGAACTCGCGGTTTGTGAGTTTGAGCCCCGCATCAGAGTCTGTGCTGACAGCTCGGATTCGGTGTCTCCCTCTCTCTCTGCCCCTCCCCTGCTCATGCTCTGTCTCTCTCTGTCTCTCATAAATAAATAATTGTTAAAAAAATTTTTAAATAAAAAAATAAATAAAAGCAAGAGGTAAAATGTTCACTTTTGGTGGATTACAGGATTGTAAACCTGCAGGATTAAGTATCAACTTAAAAACGATTATAGGGGCGCCTGGGTGGCTCAGTCTGTTAAGCATCCAACTCTTGATTTTGGCTCGGGTCATGATCCCAGGGTTGCGGAATTGAGCCCTGCTCAGCATGGAGCCTGCTTGGGATTCTCATTCTCTCTCATTCTCTCTCACTCTCTCTGTCTCTGTCTCTCTCTCTCTCCCCCTCCCTCCCTCCCTCTCCCTCTCTCCTCCTCTTCCTCTCTCTCCCTCTGTCCCTCTCCCTCACTCGTGTTCTCTCTCTCTCAAAACAAAATACAAAAAAAAAAACCCTTACAAAATAACATATTTTAGCGAAAAACAAAAAAACTAGGTACAAAATAAATAGAAATCAGTAGTTTTCATAAATACAGACATATAATTGAAAAGTTCCCATTTATAACAGCAACTAAAACGATGAAATACTTCACCAAGAAATAAAATTAATAAAATTTAATAAACACACAAGATTTAAATGAAGAAAACTTTAAAACACTAATAAAATAATGCAAACAGTATAGCTAAAATGACAATAGATCAATTAAAGTGGAATTCTAAGATATTCAATTAGCCTAAAAGAAGGCAGCAAAAGAAAGGAAGAGAAACTATGAGACAAACAAATCAAATAGTAAAACTGCTTAAGTAAACCTACCATGTCAACAATTATATTAAATGTAGATGGATAAGAAAAATAAATAAAAGGCATCCAAATTCAAAGGAAGAAAACTGTCAATATTTGCAGAAGACATGATATATATAAAAAACCCAAAGATGCCATCAAAAAACTGTTGGCACTAATAAATGAATTTAGTCAAGTGGCAGAATACAAAATCAATGCACAAAATGTGGTGTGTTTCTATACACTAATAATGAACTATCTGAAAGAGAAATTAAGAAAATAATCCTATTTACAACTGCATTAAAAAGAATTAAATACCTAGGAATAAATTTACCAAGGAGGTAGAAGACATGTATACTGAACATCATAAGACATTATTGAAAGAAACTGAAAACACAAACAAATAGGAAGGTTTTCCTTGCTCATGGATTGGAAGAGTACTGTTAAAATGTCCATTATTACCAAAAACACGAATCAATGCACTCCCTGTGAAAATCCCAAAAGCATTCTTCATAGAAATAGAACAATTTTAAAATTTGTACAGAACCACAAAAGACCCCGAACAGCCAAAGCAATCTTGAGAAAGAAAAACAAAGCTGGAGGCATCATGCTCCCCAACTTCAAACTAGATTACAAAACTGTATAATTAAAACAGTATGGTACTTGCATTAACAAGAGACACATAAATCGATGGAACAGAACAGAGAGCTCAGAAATAAACCCACACATATTTGGTCAATTAATTTATGACAAAGGACCCAAGAATATACAACAGAGAAAGGACAGTCTCTTTAATAAATGGTATTGGGAAAACGGGACAGCCACGTGTAAAAGAACAGAACTGGACCGCTATCTTAACCATACACAAAAATTAACTCAAAATGGATTAAAGACTTGAATGTAAGATCTAAAGCCTTCAGAAGGAAGGCTGACACCTTGGTCTCAGACTTCTGGCCTCAAGAACTAGGAGACAGTAAACTTCGGTTGTTTAAACCACTCAGTTTGTGATACTTGGCATGTCAGCCTACCAAACTAATAAAGACAGAGAGTGAGAACTGGGTAAATGACAGTCCAGAACAGAAAGGAAGCCTTTCACCTGTTTAATACTTTGAGTTTTGAACCCAGATTAACTTTTCAAAAATTAAATACAAAGTTTAAAGAAACACATCAAGCGAACAGTGGCAGGAGTTAGAGACTAGATAAACTCTGGAAAACTAATGTATCCTCTTTAGTAACGAAACTGAATTTACTGGCTCTCAAATACCGTACTGTCATTAGCCAAATACTATATGAAAACTCCTTTTCACACTGCAGCTACTACTGCAAAGCAGAAGAGCTAATAGTTACAAGTGACTCACCATTGGTATCTGGTTTGACTTTTTCTTCCTTGATTTGCAAATTACTCATCTGAATGGGAATAAAAGGAAACAGAGTTAAGCAGAGGACCCAAAGGAAGTCCCTTAGCCAAGAGAAGTTCCCTAGTGAAAGTCCAGCAGAACTAGTTCAGCACCTTTACTCAGGGAGTTATCCTGCTCAAGCAGGAGTCCTAAAAGCTTGGGTGAAGACATCATTTTGGGCAACTTCAAGAACTTCAAAAAGGAGAGTGGGGTGGACTAAACATAGTAGTTGGGGGGAAAAGTTTGACAACAGTCTCAAACCTCTAATTTTCTTCCAACTTATGCTCTTTCTAGAACATCTAACCTTCATTAAATGCCTTTGATAGCCTATCAATGGCAAACACACAGTTCCCTTGTAGATACACTGAAGAACAACACTATCCAGGGGCGCCTGGGTGGCTCAGTTGGTTAAGTGTCTGCCTCTCAATTTCGATTTCGGCTGAGATCATAATCCCACAGGTGAGTTCAAGCCCCACATTGGGGTCCGCGCTGACAGTATGGGGCCTGCTTGGGATTCTATCTTTCCCTCTCTCTGTGTCCTCCCCTGAGCTCTGTCCTCTCTCTTTCAAAAATACGTAAACCTAAAAAAAAAAGTATCATCTAAGTATTTCAACTTTGTTAGTCACGAAACCCACACTGTATTCACGCAACACTAAGCAAATAAATTACAGCCTTCTTTCTTGTCTTATCAACCACCTCCACTACAAGTTAGGTAAAAAAAAGTTATTTATTATGATCAAACAAACTCATGTTCCTGATTTAAAATATTTCAGGAGGCGCCTGGGTGGCTCAGTCAGTTAAGCGTCCGACTTAGGCTCAGGTCATGATCTCACGGTTTGTGAGTTCAAACACCACGTTGTCGGGTTCTGTGCTGACAGCTCAGAGCCTGGAGCCTGCTTCAGATTCTGCGTCTCCCTCTCTCTCTGCCTCTGTCCTGCTCATACTCTGTCTCTGTCTCTCAAAAAGTGAATAAACGTTAAAAAAAATTTTTTTTAATTTATCAGAAACCTGAACACAGGTTTTTTATTGATTTTGGCCACTAGTCCTGGTCAATGCAAACTTGCTTATAAGTTGCAGATTAAAGTGCAAGCAGAACAGTAATTTATACATTCATAATGAAGTCTCCAATCTCATGGGAATTATTTTCCCATGTTCAAAGTGTTGGTAAGAGTAAGGGTGTGACACAGAAGTGGTATTATAAAGGTGTGTTGTCAGGTTCTAAGGAGTACCCCAAATCAAGCCCTAGACCCCAAGCCCTGTCCCCAACAAGATCCCTGAATTGATGCAATCATTCATTATCCTTATAATGACCACCAGTGTTTCCTGAGGGCATTGAGAACCATTTCTTCCACCATTCTCCCTCCCCTCAACTGACCCTGCTCATGGTCTTTGGAAGTCCACCCTCACACTGTAGGAATATTTATCTGATCTCTTTAGAAACCAGGTCGTCCAGAGAAAAATCAGACCAACATACTACTGGAGGTGGACACCCTTTCCCTGAAGGCTGAGAGGAATGTTGGTACCTAACAGAAGGTATTTCATACTAGAACGTATCCACTGATGAACCTCATTTTTAGGCTGAATACACAGGGATTCACAGAAGACTACTCTTGGGATGGGCTGAAAAACACAAATAAAACAGTCCAGAGTCCCCAATCCAACCAAGTTGATTAGAGTGGTCTCAAAGCCTGACTGATGAGAAAGAAAACAATAACCAAATCTAATGTACTATAATTTGACAAAGAGATGTGGTAACAAAAGATGACAGGCTTAGGGGATAGTCAGATCTATGAATTTGTCAGGATTTATTCAGCTGCATTCAAGGGTAAAACTACCTGCAGACTGGTATTCCTGTCTTGAGAGGTAACTGCATCATGGGAAAGAGGCAGGCCAATTGACTCCCATTCTCCTTCATTCTGAATTCATCTTCACCAAGGAACCTTCCAATTATTAGTCATGCATCCAACAGAAGGCAGCGTCCCTGACCCTGGACACAGGCTTTCAGTTATGACAGAAGCATCCCTTCCCTATCCAAATTAACAGTAGTTCCTGGGGGCACCTGGGTGGCTCAGTTGATTAAGCATCTGACTTCAGCTCAGGTCATGATCTCGCAGTTCATGGGTTCAGGCCCTGCATGGGATTCTGACAGCTCGGAGCCTGGAGCCTGCTTCAGATTCTGTGTCTCCCTCTCTCTCTGCCCTTCCCCCACTGGCACTCTGGCTCTCAAAAATAGATTAAAAAGTGTTAAAAAAAAAAAAAAAAGAAAAAGAAAAAAAAAGAGTAGCTCCTGAAGGGTGGCCAACCTTCCATCAATCCCAGAGTCCCTGATCTGTGGAGGGGTGAACTCTCTGGCACTCAAAGACACTTCAGAAAGGCTTCAAGATCTACCTCTATGACAATTCTAATCGCAAAAGGGTCAAATTATGTTTCCAAAAGATTCTTAGGGTTGCCTTTGGTTTTTTGGTTTTGGCTGATCTGGGGAAGAGAAGATATTAAACTGGTCATACAACCAAAAGAGGCAGCAAAGGAAGCCATTTGTGTTGGAAGAGATGACAGTAACAAATGAACTGACATCAGGTCCTTTCTACTAATTCAAACTCTCAGAATCTTTTATTAGGGCTCCTAAAATTGCATCCAAACTAAACTCCCTGACATACCTCTCTTTCCCCTCCAAACCCATTTTTGTATGCAAGGAAGACTCTGAAGACACACCTTTGCTCACATAAGCGTAAACCAAACAAAAATCCTGTGTGTAAATATAAGATCTTTGTCTTTGTGTTTTCTCTGTCCTCGTCTCTGTCATTTCCATTTACTACCTGTACACTTGAGAGCACAGCCATATGATAACCTAATACTATGAATTAGTTATTAAACTAAGATACACAAGACTACATGGAAATTTAAAAAAAAAGGGGTGGGGTGGGGGAGGAGGGTTTTCCCCAGCTATCAGGAAGCAATATTTTCACACATTTATTTACATCCGCCTTCTGAGAAGTAGAGTGGTTAAAACCAGATGCCAAGTATGTTTAGGTCTATATGTACAATATTCATAAT